CCAGCAGGGATGCCGGAAGATCGATAATTGCGGGTGCAGATATTCATATATTCTTGTTCTGCCCAATTAATTTCTTTTGAAATCGATTGTTTTTACAGTCTGTGAACACGAATATATGAATATCTGCACCCGCTATTATCGATCTTCCGGCATCCCTGAACACCAGACAATTTTACTCGTCAATAGGGAAGCTCTGCAGCTTAATGAGTTAACCAAAAAATCTGACAATTTCAATCATGTCTCTAGTTAACCCATTGAGCCGCAATGCGCCCTACTCTACGCCAGATATTTTACTTGTGAATGGGGAAGCTCTGCAGCTTAATGGGTTAATTAAATTAATATTTCAAACTGTATAGAAATTATAACCCACTATAAAGCCATGCAATGCACCCTCATGTACACTATTATGTCTACAGCTAGACGATTTTACTTGTCAAGGAGAAAGTAATTGATACATTAACCCATTGTGCGTCAGCACATACTCTCCTCTTGACGAGTAAAATCATCTGGCATTAGACAAAGTAAAATATAAAAGTCAGGCGCATTTGGGTGCATTGGAGCTTAGTGGGTTAATGGTTAACCAGACTTCATTTGAGCACAGCTAACCATATAAATTTGCATGTGAACAAGTGGAACCAGTGCAGTAATGAATTAGTCCGGCGAACGTTGTTAAAGCTGCTATATTTCCTAATCGGCGCCTAAGGATCCCTACTTAACTCATCAAGTAGCAGCACTCTCCCCTTGATAAGTAAAATCACCTGGCTGTTAAACAGAGTAAATAATAAGTAAGGCAGATTTAATAATGGGTTATTAAGCGGCAGGCCTTTATAATACTGTAATTAAAATAGCATCAGTGTCTATAAATGGTCACCCAGTAACCTAGGGCAAAACGTTCAAAAGATTAAAAGTTCATCATTGGATTACTGAGATTTCTAACAGCATGATATCATGAATATATCGAGCGTATATTGAAAGAATACTATCTTAAAATAGCTTTCTATTAAAATATATTGCACAACATACATATATACACAGTCTACAAATATACTATATGTACAATTCAATTTTTAGTAAGAATACCTTGGTCGAATATCTGCTCAGTCCTGTCGAAGTCCACCAAAACGTCTTATGTAGTGTTGTTTGCCAGGCCGAAGCGGCCTTGAGCAATTTGAAAACCATGTTTTCAAACCACTGTAGTTTCGTGTGATTCAATGCACGACAGACACGTTTGTTTATATTGAAATATAACGTTTCGTGTTGATATTTGCATAATTACTTTGGAGCTGATGTAATCGGTCAGTCGGAAGATGTATTTATAAATTAAGCAAAGACCATATCTGCCTTGGGCTTCAAAGTAACAATAGCATATGGTGAAAAACAGTTCAAATAACTGGATGTTTTTAATTTTTACGTAAACACTAAACAGAGCGTCTTTTTGAACTTCAGAATCTCAGTACCAGTTACCACGTGTATTAATTGTGGAAACCACGTGGAAAATAGTGCGTGCAATTTATGCTAATTTAATTATTTTACAGTAATTGACGAAGCTCGTGAATTTCCTCCTCCAAAAAGGACCTCCGGTCTATTTTACTGATGAGTGTGGTGTAATGGCCGGTACTTGAGAGAGTCGTACTTGATAGATGAATTTCGGTAATTAAGAAAAACAATTCATAAAGTATATGGACAGTATGAATTATGAACTAGACGTGGTCCTCTGCTATACTATTAGGCCTATTAGTACAACTGATGAACTACAATCTGATAACTGGCTGAAATTGTCTTCCCCTACACAAATTTCGCATACTCGTTATAAATTATCTGCATTTGTCTGTAAAATCATATTGGTCTTCTTAAACCGCCCACCCCCTAAACTAATATTGAACTGGAATGGTAAATTACAAGTTAATTGTTTCGGATTTGTTCACAGCATGATTGAACTGGGTAAGAGGAGCCACGAATTTTGTTTTGTCAATGTACATTAATTTCTGAAGCTTTATGTTAAAGATTGTAGGCGTTTGTGTCTCAACCGCCCGAAAATGTTTGAACGGCGAAATATGGCAAGGCTCGTTCACACTTGCAATTTTCGGTGCGATTGTTTTCTTCGAATGGACGTGAACAAGCGGATAAGGTTTAAACGTTCAGAGAGGGTACTGTTTATGTATTGGAACATTCGTAACTCATCTACTCGTTTCACATGCATTAGAACAAAATCGCACTAAAAATTGCATCAAAAATTGCTATTGTAAACAAGCATTTTTAAAAAGGTTAGAAACCTAGGCTAAAAAGTATGCTTGGAATACGAGAAAATCAATGAAACACAACGCATATGACAAATTCTGCCAAACAGAAAATATTTCATGTCCAAGCTAAATTAATGCACATGCAAACACAATGGACCATTTGCATTATAGACTAAATTTTGATGTAGACAAATATTTCATCACAGCTTGAAAGAGCATCACAAAATTAGTAATATTCCAAAGTTGCGTTGCGAAATGTTGTAAAATGCGGATAATATAGCCGTTTTTCAGTCATTTTGTATTACGCACGGGAAATTGACAGCCCAATCGGGTGTTGGGGCATCAATTTCCCGTTTGTAATACAAAATGACTGAAAATTGCGGCAAATTTCGCAAGGCTATATTATCCGCATTTTACAACATTTCGCAACGAAACTTTGGAATATTACTAATTTTGTGATGCTCTTTCAAGCTGTGATGAAATATTTGTCTTGATCAAAATTTAGTCTATAATGCAAATGGTCCATTATAGGGTATTACAGTATATGGATTTGATCTAGTTGTACATAATTGTTTTACTTTTTGTTATCTTATATAGCCAAGTAATTTCATTTTATCTGGTACATTGTACTTACTGAATTGGAATGTAATGCGCATTTGATCACATTTAATGTTAAAATGCGTTGCGCATTTAAGTCTTAAATATTATTATTATAATAAACGAATCAGTAACAACAGTTCAGTAACAAATAACAAACCAGTCTCAATTCTATGAGATTACACATAATAAAAATAAGCACTATTTAAAATTAAAACAGAATACTAATTAGGATGAACAACTATATAAAGAATACTAATGAAGATGACTTTTATCAGATATAAAGTCACTCCACGTGCATGACATATTTTATATCTGATAAAACACGACGAGTTTTTTGAATAGCTTAAAATACGACTACAAAAGAATACTAATTAGGATAAACAATTATATAATCATACTACTGTAATTAGGACGAACAATTATATAAAGAATACTAATGAAGATGACTTTTATCAGATATAAAGTCACTCCACGTGACATATTCTGGCTGGCATGATTCGCCACAATGTTTATGAATTATTTCATTAATATTTTAATTATATTTATCCAGGATACCCACATCACATATACGTGTTTTTCAGTGCATGGGTCCTGCATCAGAATTACAACCATTTACCATATTTAAAATAAACAGTATAAAAATGGACACATATGTACATGCATTGTAATGATGATAAAAACGAACAATACGCAAATTACATTGAAGTACTATAATTTTATCCTGTTTAAGACAAGTCACAATTTCCACCATTGACGTCATATTCGGACTTTTAATTCATTTCAATTTCATTTGTTTTTTCGATATTTTAGATATATTTCAAAGCGCTTTGCTCGAATTTTAAACAAAATGAAAGATTCAACAATTCGAAAGCCGAATATGACGACAATGGCGGGGAATTTGACTTGCTAAAACTGATACCAGTCGATAGACTGGAAAAAAATAGTGAAATTCATATAATGGAATTTGCAATTTCATCACTAAATCCATAGACATAGTATGTCCATTCTATTTCCATACTATTATGGAAATTCCATTTAGTATGGATTGTAAAATTCGATTTCCGCACTATTTTTGGCTAAGATCTATTCAATTTCCATAGTAAGGGTTTTAAAAAAAAATTCTATACCAGTATGGACCATTGAACTATAAGTTGAACTACAAGAAAAAAATAGCAGTTGAACGATTTTTGTTTATTTTAAGTAATTGCGTGAAAATATTAAAGTGCATATGACATGAAATTTCTTATTTTCTTAAATGAAAGAACTCTTTAAGTTGTAGTGTGACTTATTTTCAGTTTCTTGTTTTTATGGTTTGTTCCCGAGATATTTCAATTTGTTTGATATGTAAATGAGTGTGAATATGTCCGCTAATTTATGACGTCATATTATTATTATTATTATTATTAGTCTTTAATGAAACAGAAGATAAAAATACATATCTTAAGTTACAATTCATATTACAGTATATGCATTATTTACACTTTGCTAAAAAGAAACTTACAATGTTTAATCATATTGTAGTTCATACTATATACATTACTCATTCGTTCATACTGTGTGTCTTGCTATAGAGATATAGAGATAACTTGCAATGTTTAATCAATAACTAAGTCATAATTGTATACCAAACGGTTTACAAACACGTTTTTAAAACGTTCCGTTCTAACTTTCGGCCTATGACTTCTTCTTTTTCTTAAGTTGTAGCCTGTTTCTTTAGCGTGTGGCATTAGTGACAATAATGGATGCTGCCAGAGTTTAGATACTCTATTAAATATGGTTCGATCTTGTTTTTCTAAAAGCTTATACACACTAACTGGCTTTGACGTATATATGATATACGTTCAAACTTCACTCACTGGTAAATGTGATGAAACACTTGAGAAAAACGTGAACTGATATCAACAGTTTTTAGAGTTGATACATTTATAACCAGTGTAAGTGAGCTTGTAAGCAACGTGACGTCATAAATTAGCGGACATATTCACACTCATTTACATACCAAACAAATTGAAATATCTCGGGAACAAACCATAAAAACAACTGAGAAACTGAAAAATAAGTTACAAGACAACTTAAAGAGTTCTTTCATTTAAGAAAATAATAAATTTCATGTCATATACACTTTAACTGTCTTAGTATGCTCTAAAATGAAAAAGGAAAGGGGGAAGGAAATTAAAGGGGTAACATTTATCGATATAAAAAGCCTGGCACTACCTACAAAACACGACATCAATCCCCCCTGACGTATCATTCCAGTTTACTTATAGATAATTGGTATAGACCTCGACACTTCGCGTGCCATGAGAAGTATTAGACATAACGAATGTAGCTTGTGGTCGATCTATTCTCTGACTTCATTGTAACATCATCTGTAAAGAGAAAACAGCATAATACTGTAATTTATTATAGATTGTTTGATCAATTGATTTATTTATTTGATTCAAAAGACAAATATCATGTTACTCTAAGGAGACATAAAAAATAGGCCTTGATTTTAGGTCCAAAACTGGATTTTCTTGCGCAGTACAGATATTATTTTTTTATATATTTCAAAATATGATTCACACCGTCATTTTATATTCACGCACGCTTTATATTCCAGAACAAGTTTTTATTTAAAGATTTACTATATAGTGGAAGTTAATATCTTGCGCATTTAAATTTATGGACACAATTGACCACATGCAGAAATATTATATATATTAGAGCCTGTTGATCAATAAAAGTTGGGTTTTTCTATAAATTAAAAAAATCCTGAGCGGGGCCTTTTTTGTGGGCGGGCGAGGACGCTAACCAACTATTTTTTTTATGTGGCCTAAATATTGTTAAAACTAGCGTTCTATATTGTATTATATGTGTATACGGTTAAATAATGGGTTAGCTTAACCCTATACTTTAACCTAAAATTCAAAGCAAACTTCCTGACAGCTTGTTTATAAATTTGGAACTATTTCTTGAGAAATCTTGTCTGGATCAGTAGGAGTTTTCTTCTCTGAAGTTTTGAAATAAACAGACGTGCAGGAAATAGATAAACTAAAACAGCAAGTTAAATTTTAACCAAGGGTTAGCGGTAAGGGGTGGACCATTAGAAAAGTGATGGGGGGGGGGGCGGGCTTTCCAAAAGCCAAATTTCAACCCTTTTTTAGATTTTCAGTGAAAAGCAATATGCATGCATGCTATAAATTTAAGACTGATTTGGACTTCTTTCTTCTCCCCACCTTAAACTTTTGTAATAATATGTTGCTTTTACTTTTAGTGATAATATTAACTTTTAATATAATACTCATCTGTATAGGATTAGTGTAGGTAATAGTACGGCTTCAAGTCCATTTTTGAAAAGACATGCATGAGTATGCTTTCCAAGAGGATCATGGTAACTGTTTATTTCGCATAGTGTAAGGCATCAACTTTACAAAACAGAAAGTCGTCATGCCCAAATAAGAGTTCTTGCAATTAAACATTTAATAAACGAGTTACGAAGGGAGTGATAAGGAATTGTTTATCTCCTAAAAACGTTGTTCTAATCCACATTTTTGAGTAACGTGCATACTCTAGCCTATGGTTGCTTTAGCCTATGCCTGCTTTTACTGTTCTAGGTTGTCGGCGACCTTATACAGTTCTTGCTGTGTCGTGTCTTTTTCAATTTGAAACTTTACACTATCCTTGGATCCATAGTTACTTGCTTTATACTATTTTCAATAAAATAATACAATCTAATGTTGCTAGAAAATTACAGTAAAGGAAAAAATAACCGGCCGTCAGAGACGAAATAGGCCCTTTGCACAATTTTTCTTATTTCACCTTATAATTTTCCCTTTTGAAAAGTCTCTGCACGAATTTTTGTTTTCAAACTTTCTTGGTACACAAAATTTCTTGGTGCGCGATTTTTACTTTTGCTTCCCCTCACTTTTCTAATGGTCCGCCCCTAATCTATCTTTGAACAATCGAATCCAGGAAAAAAGCTTACGTTTGGCAATTGGGTCAAAGGAATCTGGCAAGTTCCCAGCGAATTCCACAAGACTGTGAGAGATTTTGGGTTTATCAACACCATACCTTGGAAAAACAAAATATAGGTGGGTTTATACAGGGTGTATCATAAAAAACTGAACAGATTTGAAATTGCTCTCACTTTCGCAAAACACCTATTTGTATCCGGTTTTTTTATATATATAGCTTCTTTGGGTACTTATAATGTAGAATAATGAAAAAAATTTCTCGAACTCAAATTTTGTGAACCAGGGGGGAGTGTCTTTTCCAACAAACTAAAAATGGCTCGCGCACAAAATTTAAAAGCTGGAATCATATTTTGAGTTAATAGATGGAAAATTTGTCGGGTTTTTAATTACTGTACAAAATTTCAGACAATTTGGTTTAGTTTAAACCCCTTAACTATTCACGCAAAGTTACATTTTTCCTAAAAATCAGCTATTTGCATGCTTAATTAATGCATTTGCCTAATTTGCATATGTCAGCAATATGCAAATTAGGTAAATGCATTAATTAAGTATGCGAAAGGCTGATTTTTTAGAACAAAATGAATAGTTAAAGGGCTTAAACTGAACCAAATTGTCTGAAATTTTGTACAGTAATTAAAAATCAGACAAATGTTCCATCTATTAACTCAAAATATGATTCCAGCTTTTAAATTTTGTGCGCGAGCCATTTTTAGTTTGTTGGAAAAGAGACACACCCCTGGTTCACAAAATTTGAGTTCGAGAAATTTTTTTCATTATTCTACATTATAAGTACCCAAAGAAGCTATATATATAAAAAACCGGATACAAATAGGTGTTTTGCGAAATTGAGAGCAATTTCAAATCTGTTCTGGTTTTTTTTATACACCCTGTATAGGTTGTTTAAAATATAGGTGGGTTTTACTTGGCGTTGTGGCCGGCAGATGGTAGCCAAATATGCAAGAAATAGAATATTGATACTTGCAGCAGGAAAATCACTGTAAATTACATTTTTCGATTCTTTTCTTTCAATATAATGTAAAATTAATGGTAATTTTACATTATATTGAAAGAAAAGAATCGAAAATATATAATTTACAGTCATTTTCCTGCTGCAAGTATCAATATACTATTTCTTCCACAGTTGGCTGCCATCTGCCGGCCACAACGCCAAGTAAAACCCACTTATTTTTAAACAACTACGTTTTTCGTACGCGTCAGTTGCATCACTTGCATGTAGGTCCATTAAATATACGTGGAAATTAACGTTATACTAGAAGAAAATCCTTACCAGAATATTATCCAGTTTCCATTTGTCCAACTACCGTCCGCTCTGATGAAATACCTGCGCAATAATTAAAGAAATAAAAGCAGTCAGTAATGCATGACATATTGTGTAATTCTACGCAGCTAATGAGTCTGTTGTATGAAGATAAAGTCTGATAAACAAATAAATTTTTTTCTATGATAAAAGGATTGTGCAGATGGAAACTGCAAGTGTGAATTTTTATACATTTATTTTTTTTAAATTTTTTGCTTGTGTCCATAATTTTTTTAATATAGTCCCTTGCACAAAATGCAACTACAGGCCATTAAGCCCTCTGCATGGCAAAATCAAACCTGCGATTCCGGTGCAGCGCTCTAACTAACTGAGCTACAGAGACGAGCTGTCGAGCTCTAATATTTTTCCATGACAGTCTTACCAAGGATTAATTCTGTTCGTTGCACGAGAGCGCCAAAACAAGCTTGGAAAATCTTGAGTAAGATGATTCCATAAATCATCACTCGTTCCTTGACCCTTTGAAATTCAAATTAAACTGACTTAATTTACATACTGGATAGTTCTATCAGTTCTAAACCGATCTCCCTAGAGAGATAGGCCGTCCCATACTGACCCAATGTTACTACTCGAGGACACTGGAGTACCCATGCATAGGGGAAACCTGCTGGGCCCTGCTGGTGTTTGATACAGGGCTCAAAGTGGAGAAAAATGATGGCCTGCCAATCTAAAATGTTTTGGCAGGTGAAATAAATTTTAGCCTGCCATTTTTATTCATTGAACTGCCAAAATGGCAATGTTTCATACGAGTCATATTGTAAAAATCAATGTTTTCATAATATGCATTTTTATTATTTATAAACTTGTCTTTTTTACTACAGTAAACTTGGATTTACATTTCGAATATGAACGTATTTAGTCAACTAAATGATCTAGTATCTATACTACAGTATATAGAATTTCACCTGCCATTTCTTTTTACTTTGGCAGTCAGTCAAATTTGTTTTTGCCTCCCATTTCTAAAATATGGCCAGCTTTTGGCCATTGGCAGCCCGCTATTTCGTGGTTGATCCAGTCAAAATGAAAGCACTCTTCTCACAGGCAACTATGGGGCGAAATCATAAACAGACAGCAATGCATTACAAGATCCTCCCCCCCCCCGGTCTAAGTGGGGAGCGAGGCAAGAAGTGAACCCGCGAACAGGCTGCGAGGGCTACCAACACCCAAAACATGACATTTGCAGGGAAGTGTTTTGGTGGTAAAAATTATTTTCCTTACTTGACATGTAGATGTTATGACAAATTTATCAAGATAGGGAATTTCACATTTTTCCCTGTCGTGAATGACAATGGCTGCTGCAGTGTAACTGCAAAAAATGCAAACAAAATATCCTTTAGTATATACTAAGAGCCTCGCACTCTTCAAGTTTTAAAAAACCGACACAGAACTCACAAAATTAGAAAATATCATACTTTTCTGATATATACACGCTCTGTAAATATTCCTGAATAACAGTCATATGATCTGGCTTTAGAGGTCTTTGGAATGATCTATAATTGAATTATATAATAACGTTATGAATTCAAGGGTCGAGAGCCATGATCTATTACAGGACAAAACCTTATCCAATAGCATTCCCTAATTTGTATAGATGATGTGCGCGTGATATTTGTAAAATTTCGACTTTTTCAAATTTCCAAAAGTAAGCTATTTACCTGTTTAATTCGGGGGTTTTCTTTTTATTATATAAAAACAAATAGATAATTTGTATGAAAAGTATGACGTCATAATGTGGGAACCACATTATGACGTCATGCTGTGTATCTATAACTCAACAGACAACGGCAAAATCTTATCTATTTGTTAAATAATAAATAGAAATGTAAACATGTTTGTGATGTTACTCTGAGTGTATATCCACACCGGGTGAGCTTGAAAAATATGCCCGGCCACGGTGGGAATCGAACCTACGACCTTTGGAATACTAGCTCACCTGAGTACGCAACACTAACACAGAAAAAATTCAAATATAAACATGTTTCCATAAATCTTATTGGCTGGGCGTGGCCGGGTGGTGGTTGCATGTATGCAAATGAACTTACTGAGCCAGTAGCTTGGTAAGTCTTGGGACGTCGACTTCGTCCAATGATTTATATCTGTGGATTGCTTCAGTTTTCTGAATCATAGTACCACAACCTGCAAAACATTTATCGCTTAAAATAATGCGTATATAGTGTCGAATGGTCCAGTATAAATAGTATTATATACAGTAAGCTGCCATATAGTTTGTGTCTGACCGACCTGAAAAACATAAAAACACTTCAATACTAACATTTTTCTACTTAGGGACCGGTCATAAAGTAACTGCTAGGTTGGGCTGGAGTGATTTAGGATGGGCCATGGAAAATCTTTGGGCAGTTTCGATGGGTCGCCATTTTTTTTGTATTTCCACGGTTGGGCCACCAAACAAAACCCATGCATGCATGTCTACTTCAAAAAATAAAGATATTAATAATAACAGTAAACAAAACTATATCCAAATTATCAAATGCAAATGATGCTATTGAAGTCAGTACTTTGTTTATACAACAACAAGAAGTGGTCGAATCACAGCAAATACAGCCAACTGGAGAGCAGCTCAGTATCGTAATTGGTGATGAATGTGTTGGTCAAGCTTGGTGGAATTACGTATGTCAATACAGTGCCGGTGTATATTTGTAATGTTCATACCTGCAAATTTTTTTTTTATTATAAAAGTGTATTTTTCCAATTTAGATTGGGTGGGGTGGGTCATGAAAATTTTTTTGTAAGATTAGGTGGGCTTTGAAATTTTTTTATACATCCTAAGATGGGTCACCGAAATTATTGGCAAAATTTGTGATTTACCTCCAGCCCACCCTAGCAGTTACTTTATGACCAGTCCCTTATGAACTTCTTTTTAGTAAATATTCGATTGCATACAAACCTTGGTGACTGAAAAGTTCTTTTATAATGTTATCTGGGCTTGTTATAACGGCAGTTGAGTTGTTTGAAAAATCTTTGAGTAGAGTAGCGATTTCATCAATCTGTAAATATAGATTAAATATAAACATGCAGCACTTAAAACAACCAATCAATTACTTAAAGGAACAGCTGCAATGTGTGAAAGGTACAATCTCTGACAATATACATTGAGACAGTCTATATAGCTTTTACATGCACTCAGGGGCTACTAAACACTGAATTTGCAGTTGTGAATAAACCTTTCAGCAGGGGTGGGGAAAAAAGACGAGCATGCGAGCACTGCTCGCAGGACATGTTAAACAGCTGCAGGAAATTCGATTAAATACAGATTTGCTATTGAAAATTTGAAGGAAACCTTAACACCCATGACCCACTATGGGCGTAACAACATATGGTTGACAGACGTTATTCCCTGAACTGAAAACCATGGTCAGCTAGAACGCTATATGTTTATGCGCATGCAGATTTAGCACAAAAATACTCCGTTGGTCTACAGGAAATCCCCTTTTCTTGCTTTTCAGTGCCAGTGGGCAAGATATCCTGCAACAGGGTCAAATAGTACTCAATCATGCGAGTTTCGCTTCCATATCATGAACTAATAGTTACAGTAGATGTATGGTTCTAATAGTTGTATGTAATCTTGTTACCTGGCGTTTCACGTCCGATGTGCACCATGACTGCTCAGAAACCCCTGGCACATCTCCTGGAATTTTAATTTGAGAAACAACCTTGAAAAAAAAAGAAGAAATTGGTTAATCAAAGCCGTTTTACACTACGAGCCTTTACACTGCGAGGCCTGGGTCTACCTTTGGACTAGATTTTTGTAGTGTAAACGCACTGCGGCCTGGCCTAGGTTAGGAAATCTGGACCACATGTTCTGATGGACCTAGATTTCCTGGCCTAGGCCAGGCCTAGTCCAAAGCTAGGCTTAGGCTCGTGATGTAAACACGGCTCAAGTTAAGCATTTCATTATATGAACATTATAGTAAGCATACTTTTCCATGATCATCAACCAATCCGCCATAATCATTTAGAAAAATCACTTTCATGGGTTTTAGAACTTCTGACAATTTTATCGCAACATGTCGTGAGCAGACTGGCGTGACCACTCCAGTTTTCTGATCAATGGATATAGAGGTCAGTAAAGGCACAAGACCCGATCTGGAAATAACAAATTTTAATAATTTAGGAAAAGAAATGAGCACTACAGTACACAAGACACCGCAGTTTATATCTACATCTACCGCAAGCAAAAACGAACAAGGGAAAACAATGGACCATTCCCCAATTAACCAAAATTTTGAACTCAACAAGTCTAGACAAAAATTTCATCACAGCTTGAAAGAGCATCACAAAATTAGTAATATTCCAAAGTTTTGTTGCAAAATGTTGTAAAATGCGGATAATATAGCCTTAATTGCAAAGTTGCAATTTTCAATCATTTTAGATTACAAACGGGAAATGGTTACCACTTCTGTGCGTAACACAAAATGACTGAAAATTATAAACTTCGCAAGGCTATATTATCCGCATTTTACAACATTTTGCAACGAAACTTTGGAATATTACTAATTTTGTGATGCTCTTTCAAGCTGTGATGAAATTTTTGTTTAGGCTAGTTAAGATCAAAATTTTGCAAAAGTGGTAACCATTTTCCGTTTGTACAATCTAAAATGACTGAAAATTGCAAATTTCGCAAGGCTATATTATCCACATTTTACAACATTTCGCAACGAAACTTTGGAATATTACTAATTTTGTGATGCTCTTTCATATGCTGTGATGGAATTTTGTCTAGACTTGTTGAGATCAAAATTTTGGTTAATTGGGGAATGGTCCATTACGACCAACGTATCAAGCGTCTATATAGACTTTAACAATCTAGAACATGAACTAAAAAACGCTACTTCATTATAATAAACCTCTCATTCTTTTTCAGTTTCGTCCTCCACTCTATCACTTCTTCACTTATACTTATCTTTCTCTATCTATACTTTATCTGCTTTCCACTTCAAACGTGTCGCGGCGAAGTGTAGCGTATGTATTTGTTTCGTGAGCACTCAGATAGAATTAATGTCTTTGAAACAAAGAAGTGCGTTGTGTTTCACTGATCTCGATGTGGTTGGAGTGGAAATCAGCCTTAATCAGGCTTTGTTAATACTCTGAAATAATTCTATTCTATAGTCTATATATGTGTTGCTGTAAATAGTGCATGCATGGCTAAATCATGGAATTAATGTAATTTAGAGTTGCAGGACCCCATTGAAAAACACTTCAGATGATATAATATGAAGATAATAATAATAATAAATTCTATATTCTTCTACATGCTTTATCATGCAGTTCGGATCGAACCAATGATCTTTAATGGTTCGCTAGTACTCTATCAAGTCGGTTCGTGAGATTTCTGAACAGACTCCATTTCCTTCGGTTTCTGTAGAACTCTGTATGATCTTATATCTAATCTCAATGGAATCTTACCATTATGCAAAAAATATTAAATGCAGGGTAAAAAATACCTAAATGTCCAGGTAATTGGATCTGCATTCACATGTTCAATGACAGCTCGTGTTCTGGAAAAGAGATTTAGAATACAAGCAGTGATTATAAAGTCTCAAACAACAAAATTTCCAAACTATCTTATCTCGTTTCTTTCTTGACATACTGTACTTAACAGGGTTTATTTTAAGAAAAATTTAGAACTGCACATATAGGGATGTTACGAAGGAAAAGGGTGTTTGACTGGGGGGGGGTCGAAGGATTTTTTACCTGCAATTAAGTGACAGAATAATGGTGTGGTTGGGTGGGAGAAAGGCCAGACAAACTCGATTTTGGGTGCGGGAGCTAGGGGGTGTTCCCCAAAACAATTTGAATCTAGAGGCTCTTAAGTTCTGGCAAAGATTTGTTTTACCCAACCACTCACAAAACTGTTTCAAAACCTGGGAATCATGGATATTCAATATATAACAACCTTAAATTTGCATTTGAGGCAGCAAAGAATATTAGGTTCTCCCATTTTAATCTCTTTTGAGTAGCTTCGCTCGCCCCAATTTTACCTTCTCTTCCATTACCCCAGCACGCAAGTGATTTGTGAGGAAATAGGAGCATCTGGAGCCCTCCCCCAGAAAACGTTTATATTTTTGATGCTCAATTAATGACAGCATTTCTGGAATTTTCTGGAGCATCCACAAGGGTAACATGTAATTGATCAAGTCTGTTTTAACTAAGGCTATTTTTGTTAGTTTGGCTGGTGACTGCGCATTTGTGTTTTAAGAACTGCACAAATGGGTTTAGAACTGCACATTTTGTGTAGAACTGCACGTTAAAATAAACCCTCACTGATACTTAACACAATGTACATTTGAAACGCAAATTGTCATCACTATGATGTTAAATTGCATAATGGCTTTCTGAAAAAACTTTTATAACTCTTATAGGCAAATGGTTCAGTTGTTGTCGACATATATAACATATATCTATTTGTAGTATGTTGCTATAGCGCATATGCACAATTTTATGATTTCCAAGATCATGAAGTTTGTAAAATCCCAAGATCATTAACTTTTCTGGGGGTGGATCCCTAGACCCACCTACAAGTTACCACCTCCAAGCTAGGTCCCAACCACCACCACCAGTGATGAGTTCTTAGTACAGACCTGCTAAGTCTCACGATTTAATCGTGAGACTCACGATTTTTTATGGTTTCTCACGATCTCACGATTAAGTCCCCAAATCTCACGATTTTCGGAACTTATGAAATCATCGAAGAGCGCAACATCTAGTTACAATAAGGCACACTCTTCCAAGGAAACATCGCACTTTATTAGCGTATTAATAATGCGCCTCTGAATGCGCAATGTACAACGCCAGAATTTTGTATGCGTGATGTTTAATTGTGTTACAAAGTAAAAGGCGTGTCCTGCTAAGTTTATTGCCCTGTTAGTCCTAATATTACTCGTAGTTTTCTTGTTTTTGTACAGTGGAAACTACTAAAGCCATAAAGAAAAAACAGCCTATTTTTAATAAGCCTTGCATATACGGTTATATTAACAAAATATAAATGCATACTATCATAAAATTGAATATCTATTGATTATTTTCTAGTGTTGTTAAAGTTAACCCTGGTCATATCAATGAGCAAACCTGAAAATTTCTAAGATTTTTCAGTCAATCTCACGACTTTTTAGATAGCAACTCACTATTTCTGCTACTCAAGGGTTGGCAGGTCTGTTAGTAAAAGAGGGTATACCACATGAGCATTGGCAATGCATTTATCTGTGACTGTTCAACATAGCCTAACACACAGTATGTACTAATAACCTGGAGTGAGATTTTCGGCTGGCAAGAATGCCACTGCTTCCACAAAATGCTCGTGTTGTTGCATGACATGACTTTTCTAGGCAGTCAACCAATTGCATTCCTTGTTGTTGTAATTGCTCAGCCTGGATAAATACATCATCCGGGTGGCCTTGATCTGGGCCATAGACCAGCACCGTGGGCATGCCGTTACGATTGAGGAAGGACAACGAGGAACAGAGACTCTCCATCTAAAGAACATAACATTTTCTAAGAGAGCTCGTTAAAGAGAAATTTAGTTAGCCACTAACCCCAATGTACAGTATGTTATGTGTCATATTTGCATGTACAGTACAGTACATGTATTGTTATATTTGCATTATTGGAAGAAGACATGTAATATCTCTTTAAATTAAAGTAAAAAACCTCATCTTGATCAACTTTTTCATAGTCAAAGCTAGTTTCCAAATGTGATGTAATTAATTTAGCTGAATTATTGAAAAACAAAGGAAAAGTAATTTGCGATTCATCTTATTGACAACATATGTGAAAGCTTTGATAATAAAAAGTTGATCAAGACAGAGCTGCCAAGTCTCACGGTTTCCCCGACGGAGTCTCCAGGTTTTCGCGCTGACCTCCAGGTCTCACAGGGTTCGTAGTCTCCAAAACCAAAAATATTCAAAGACTTTCAAAGATTTTTTCTGCCTATTTTGAAAGACTTTTCAAAGACCTTTAAGAGCAACCAGCTGTCGAAAAATTGCGAGTGTAAGCACTATTTTTACCCAGTAATTAGTCCCGTCAAATCACATCCTAAAATGCACCTTTTCGTCGATATTTGCGAAAATCTTGCTTCAATCAATCTACTTTATTAGCTAGGAAATCGTATAATCAAATACTCACTAAAGAATTTAAAGACTTTTAAAGACTTTCTTTGCTTTTTCACACAATTCAAAGACTTTTCAAAAACCATAAAGACCTGCATTCAAATTTAAAGACTTTCATGGATTTCAAAGACCGCTACGAACCCTGTCTCACGGTGGGTTTTGAAAATCTCACGGAACCATTAAAATGGTCCTTTATGCATGGACTCTGCATCTATGCTCTGAAAAAATACAATTTGCGAAAACACCGTCTGTTCTTTCGAAAAAGAAAATCCGTACGTATTTGTGAAATGACACTCTTGTTAAAAAAATTAGTAGCGTGGCTATTCGAGTAAACTTAGATTTTGTGATCTTGAAGTATAACGTAATCTAAACGTGAATTATGTGTGTGCGCAGGCTAATTTTTTGTAACATGCCCGGTCAACAATAATATAAAGTCAATAATTTATACATAATTTGATTAAAATTTTTCAGTATTAAATATTGTCTGCACTACTCTGTCTCGCTATCGCTGTCAGGAGGTACAAACTACAAACTAAAGGCCACAACAACCTCCAGGTTTTTGATTATCTGAACTTGGCAGCTCTGTCAAGACGAGGTTTATTAGATTATGGGGAATAAAGTGCTCAATGAGTATTCATTGATCTACAAACATACTGCTTTCTCATTGTCTAAAATGGACGATCCTGCCTGCAACACAGCAAAAGGACGTTCAGGGTCATTTGCTTGGTTTTGAAACTGACGTAACCAAAATCGTGCCTCTTTTGGATCACTGCCAACCTAAGCACAAAATTTTATGTACTATAATTAACCCATTGAGTGGAAGCAATCTCACCTTGATAAGTAAAATCATCTGGCATTAGATATTGAAATAATAAATTAGGGCACATAATTAGGGTGCAATGCAACTTATTATGGCAGGTCTATGGCGGAATAAATGAAGGTCCTTCGCTCAAAATGTCAAAGTTGATCTGTTTGTATTTTTCAAGTAGCTGTATCTCTCTTACAGTCAAACCCACAATATTGCAATTTTGATAGGGCCAGATTGCTCTGAGCAAATTGCAACCGACACGAACAAATTGCAAGTTCGAAATTCACAAAAGATTTGTAAACAAAGCCTCAGATTGAATTATAAGAAAGAGGGAAACCAATCAAAAAGTCTGAGAAACTGGATTGGTGCTTCCCCCTTTCTTATAGTCCAATCAGAGGTTTTGTTTACAAATCTTTTGTGAATTTCAAATTGCAATTTGTTCGTGTCGGTTGCAAATTGCTCAGAGCAATCTGCTATTGTCCCATCAAAATTGTCCCATCAATATTGTCCCATCAATATTGTCCCATCAAAATTGCAATATCGGGGGACAATATTGCAATATTGCTCACAAGAGAACATCCGGTTTGACTGTAATCCGTAGCTGCCTTAACTATCATAGGCGTACGAGGCAGGGGGGGGGGGGCAACTGCCGCCCCCAAATTTTGGAAAACCATGGAAATTCGGGCAAATGCTAGGAAGAGTCAAGTAAATTCGGGCAGATTTATCACAAAATAGGTTAAATTCAGGTAATTTCATTACAATCCTCAAAAAAAATTTGTGCAAAATTTTCGACTGCCCCCTTGGAAAGCATCAGCCCTGTACGCCTATGCTTGTCATCGTTAGCTTTTGAATACTATCAGTTTACCACCAGTCTTTCCTGACTGAGGATTAGCGTATAGAAGTAGAAGTTTGTTGAAAGATTATATGCATTTTAGTGTATTAATGAATTATTTAGTTATTGACTGTTGAGTTATTGAGTCTCCTGTTGTTATTGTAATTTGTAACAGTGAGAGTTATGGAAACTTATTTGGATGGGACAGGTATAATACTTATGGTATGCAGTATTCAGAAGTGGAATACTGGATTCTCAGGGGGGGGGGGGTACTAAACTTTGAATCCTGGTATCCCAGTTGGGTACCAGACTGGAAAGTTTGGAAATTGCACGCCAGAGATTTCGAAAATTTAATAGTAAATATATAGAAAGCATCAAATTTGCGCGCCGGAGATATCCGCCGCGCGATACAAACTTTCCATACTGGGTTGGGTACTGAGAAAAAATATAAATTTCAGACCCTGCTCTGGCTATGCAGAGTGAAGTTCAACTTCTATTGCAACTTGCCTCACAATTTTCTTTCATTGCAAGACAAGCTGCAAAGTATTAAGAATGTCACAGGAGGTAATTTTTGCTGCAGAAATTCCATTACAGCGAAACCTCCCTCATGCAACATGGCCTTTTTAATACAGCAACAATAATTAGCAACATTTTTCTGGTCAAATGTCATTAATTAAAGAATATTAAAAATAGGTTGCATTGGGACACATTACAGTTTAATAAGTTAATGATTAACATGTACAGTACATTAATCAATAGCCTACGATGCAAATCTTGCACAACAAACCTCTTCTAAGAATCTCTTCAAGTCCGTAGGCAGTGAATTATTTTGGCCAAAGGTGGTACACGTACTCGATAAAAACCGTATCATGGGGAGACCGGTTCTTGCTTTTTCCAAACCTCGTCTAAATTTATCCATGATATATAATTATGTCGTTTCGTACGACAAGCAAAGACAATATTTGGCCACATAAGAATAGTTTGATCTGCAATAAACAAAAGTTCATAAAAATATAAAATTTTATAAATTCATAACATTCCAATTTCCAGACTGCATAACACCACTTCATTTGTTTTACATGATGTATTGAGGTCGATTTCACCTCTGGTCAACTTTTTGCAGGCTCATTGATGATATTTTTTAAAGTTTTTATTTTGAAAATAAAAAAATATTTCTAAAAAATGCTTATTTTAATATTGTAAACTTAAAATTATGCTCGATTTCCCTTGAAATTTTGTTAATGGAGTACTATGTTATACAAGAATGGGAAGCCTCGTATTATTGCTGGGAAAGCAGGGCTTGGAAGGACGGGAAATTAAACTTGTGTTCAAAATATATGTGTTTTTTTGACAACAATTCTGAGCTCAACTTTGCTCCAAGTATCACAGCAGATTTGCGTCGTGTAACTGGCTTTCAAAGACGACAGGTTTCGTTGATTTATAGAGCCATTGTTGTAAGTGTCGAAGGCGAAAAGCCTTTGTGGTTTTCGTCTTTGAAAAATCGGGAAGAAGTGTTTTATTTTTTGGAACATTTTTGGAAACAACGCTTGCTGTGTTTGGGACCAGGGTGAGATGTTTGAATTAGAGTATAAAGCCCTGCTCAAGCGAGGATGAGAGTTGAGAAGCGAGAGTTCGCATGAGAGTCTTCTCAATTCTCATGCCCCGGTCAAACAAGAACAAGAGTTGATGAGAGTTGAATATTACTGTACGCTAGCCAAAACTCTCATCAACTCTAGGGGTGCACCGGAACCAATTTTTTAAGATCCTGCCAGAACCGGATCTGGCCGGAAATAGAAAAAAGTTCTGGCAAGAACCGGAACTAATTTATATAGTCATATGTTACTTTATCTGCTGCCAGACATGCAGACACTTCACATCATCAAGGAGAGGGCTCGCAAATGTTAGAATAAAAAGATTGACAAACGTTAAACGTCATAATGAAGTGTTAATAGTGTACATTTTCCTTGTGTAGTCCAAATTTCTTTCTACTGTGAACTTTTGTTAGACACAAAAACGTTTGATATTCTATCTCTCTGAAAACTACAGAGTTCCGGTTCCGGCCATGCTTCTTTTATTAGTACCGACTGGAACCGGAACTCTGAAAAATTGGGGTTTCCGACCGGAACTAACTGGCCAGAACCGAGTTACGGTGCAGCCCTAATCAACTCTCATTAAAATTTGAACCAAAGTTGATGAGAGTCAATGAGATTTGGTGGTCAATGCGAGTGAGAGTTGCAACTCCATTTAACTCTTGTCAACTCTCATTCTCGTTTGGCCAGGTGAGGGCGTAAATTCTTGTGAATATGTCCCAGGCAGGTCTGTCTAACAAGAAAAAAACGCAATTAGATTCATTGGCTTATAATTCTGCACTGCCATCAATGCTGAACGCTCCAGTTGGGATCAGTTGTTGACACCCCCAGACCCTGCAACCTTGCAGGGGAGTGGTACCTCCTGCACCACATTGTCGCCTGCCTCTTTCAAAACACCTACTCTAGACTAAATTTTATTGGGAACCACGTGAGGCGTCAAAAAAAGTACCTGTGGTTCCGGTTCCCGACCGACCCTATTTTTTTCTGCCGACCCTATTATTTTTTCAACGTGATTGACCGTGCGACCATATTTTCTCCAGGTGGTTGCGGGCTGCTCATACAGTGTGCCAAAATGGCATCTGTTGTCACACTAATTATTGAACCAAATTGCCTAAATTCGTCCATAGGAAATACGCATCTCTAGTTAACATTGATGTCGGGACTCTACTGCAAATCGTCCAGCAAAAAACTGCCAAAACCATGAAAAAAATATTCATAAAAAAAAATTATTTCCGACCTACCGACCCTAATTTTTTCACGATATGAAACCGGAACCACAGGTATTTTTTTATGCCTGATGCGCCCTACTATAGAATTTTACAAATAAATACTACTGTATTTCAAATATTTTCATAATTTCAGTGGAGAACGAAACCAACAAACCAGAAGTCATGAAGCTGCAACCTCATCAGAAGGTCAAGTTGAAAGAAAACGATTTTTTGAGATGTTATACGATTCAGAGAAAACCTTGATCAAAGCTTCTAACTCGTTGTATGACCAAGGAGAACAATTCGATCACTCATCTCGGACGATGAATAGAATGCACAAAGATTTAAATGTCACAGAAACACTTATCAATGGCTTGGATAGATGGTTTACAAAATGGGAAATGAAGCCGGAACACTATTTTGAAATCCGGACAAAAAAAGAGTACCCTATTTTGTACAGAAAAACTACAAAAGAAAGCTATTATCCTGGTACGTTAGTTTTTGTCGAGGGGCAGGTCACAGTTTTGGATATTAAACGTGTTGCAGATATCTCGATATTGTTGAAAGACTTAACGAGCATTGTCGTTAATACACCGTGGAATGTGTTGTTGGTTAGGTATGCCATTGGCGAAGTTGACGTAATGATCGATGTATCTTCGGCACAAGTCGTGTACATCCTCAAAGCTCTTCAATCAGAGCACGGTGATAAATTTGACTACGAAGAGGGTTCTGTTGATGCCAAACAAACAATAAGAATCTCAGAAATTCCTGGCACAGAAAATCTGATGACAGAAAGTAGTGAGGCAAGGCATACAGAACTTGGTGATGCTGATCTTGAGACAGTCGGTGACGTGGTTGGCAACTTGAAATCATTGGCAGTTGGTATTAATCAGGAGATGACACGACAACTTGACAGGTGTGTAAATACATGTATATAACTCTTAAATGTCTTTTGTAGACCTTGCATTTTGTGATGCATGATCACTCGAGATCTTGCGAGCTACAGTCTGTCTGCACTGAAAGAATAAATAGAGAGATTCGGATTTGACTTCCACTACACTACCTCTTGATTGGTTGATCGGGTAGATTAAATGCATCTGATTGGTTAATGATACCTAGTGGAAGTAGTGGAAGTTGAACCCTGAACCTCTCTACATGGTGATCAGCAGTCATGACTTTCCCTGCTTTTTATGATTAAAAACCCTGCTTTTCTGCCGATCATAAACAATTTCTTGCCGATTGGTGATTGGCTGTTATGTCAAGTTCTGATTAGGTATCCTTCCAATGAAGCCTTTGGGCTCTTTCCATTAACACGGCGAGACCGGTCAGACCGGTCACATTGTTGAATGGAACACAATACATTTGGACTTCGGATCCAATTTAATCCGAAAATTTGGATCAATTTTGACGCAGATCCATTTTCTCCAGATTTTTGAGAAACTTGAACCAGATCTTAACATTATTACAGAGAGAGCAGGCCTTAAAATATCTTTTCCAGGGCCGTCTGACAAAATGTCCGGTGACGTTGAGTTTGGGTCAGACATATGTCCGATGATCTTCAGTTCAGTTTTGACTCGGAAATAAGTCTGAATGACACAAATGAATAAATGGTAAATGTTGTAAAGATATTAAATAATTTGTTTCTTTCATACTTATTTCCAAGCCAAAATTAACTTGCTTGCCAGAACAGCAGTATTAAAAAAGACTTCATCAACTTAAGCCTGTTTTCCACTTCACCATTTCGCTCGCCTCCCCGCGCTCGACTACGTAAAAACAACATTTCCAGTTCACCTTTTATACAATAGTACTCTGATTTTCCATTTAACATACAAGCCTCTAGAACTGGGCTAGGGTACATATTGATTTACGTCAGACAAAGCTACAGTTCGGTCGGACACCAATACACTCGGGTCGGACAAACAATAAACCTCAGTTTCATTTTGGTCGGACAGAATGTCCGATAGTTTCCTCTCTACGTCGGACAATTTCACAAATGGGTCGGACAATGTCCGTGACCGACCGATATTTTAAGGCCTGAGAGAGAAATTCTGGTCTGACCGGTCTGGCCATTAAATGGAAAGCGCCCTTTGACTCAGATTTCAGGTGAAGCCTTCGCAAATTCAACCTTCAGCCGAAAATGTTATGCCCTGGTCATACAAGGATGAGAGATGATAAAGGTTCCAACTCTTGCTCGCATATTACTGCCAACTTTTGTCAACTTTTGTCAACTCTTTTCAACTTTCAACTGATTCAAATATTGATGAGAGTTTCGCTACATACATAATGCTCAACTCTCATTAATTCTGGTGCAACTGCGCTTGTTTGGCCAGGGTATGAGAATCTGAGAAAACTCTCATGCAAACTCTTGCTCGCCAACTTTCATCAACTGTCATCCTTGTTGACCTGGGCATAAGGATGATACTCACCTCTATCCTAGATAGATAGATAGATAGATAGATAGATAGATAGATAGATAGATAGATAGATAGATAGATAGATAGATAGATAGATACTGATTACTGTTCATTTCTCTCTCATCATTCAGTTTGGACCAGCTCTCAGAGTCTGTGGATAAAGCCAATTACAGGATAAAGAAAGGCAGCAGAAAAGTGGAGAAAAAGCTTTAAATCAGTTTAAAAATGTCTGAAAAAAGGTATGGACATTTTTCTTACGTTCAAATTTTTTCATGTCTAACTGGCCAACTGGGTGGGTTTGGCCTTACGCAAATAACCCACCTTATCTTAAAAACCGCTGGTGCATAATAAATATCCAAAAAAGTTTGTGCGTCTTATTTGGAACACTCCCAGAACCAATATTTAGTAATGTTATCTCAAAGTATTGAATATTAATAAAATCAATGATTAGAATCCTATGTACAGTATAAAAAAGATCAAATCTTTCAATATTTTTGAACGAGAAGCAAAATGTATATCTAGTAACTTTGAACAGTATATCTAACACTGAACATATATCACTTACAGTACATATCTCAAACTCATTAATAATTCATGAGCAAATTAGCGAATGAACTCACCCTAATTCGTCACATGATTGAGGTTGGATACCGCAGGAAACACGCTAAAAATCATATACCATCACTGTTGTTAGATGAAAAACGGTTTTCATCTAATAACTGAGATCCTAATTACAAATTCAAGTCAAAACACAACAATATACTATAATAATATATATAAGCCAATGAAATGTTTTCGTTTGAGATGTTGTGTAAACAACTCGTTTCTCGTGTTTCATCAGGGGACCAAACACTCGAAAACAATAAAACACTCGCGCTTCGCGCTCGTGTTTCATACAGTTTTCTCGTGTTTGGATCCCCTGATGAAACACTCAAACTCCTTGTTTACATATAACATCAAACTCTCACTTGTGAATAGCTTGGTTTGTGTATTTGAAGCCCCGTTTACACTACGCTCAATTTTTGGTACGGAGGGATAAAATTGCTACCCGTACCACTTTTTTGGTTCTTGGACTACCTATTTAGCTAAGCCCCGTTTATACTACGCTCAATTTTTGGTACCATACCACTTTTTGGTTCTTGGACTACCTAAATAGTTAGTCCAAGAACCAAAAAAGTGGTACGGGTACCAATTTTATCCGTGCCGTACCAAAAATTGAGCGTAGTGTAAACGGGGCTTTAGTTCTGAAAAACCCTTGAAAACTCTGGAATTTCAAATTTATCCCTGGAAAACCCTGAGCTGAGTATAGGATTATACCTCAAAACTATTTAACACTATCTTAAAAAGAAAGATTGAGACACATCGGAAAGTCATTAATTAAACGTCATTTGAAATCGTAAGTACGGCATTAAACACTCAAAAACCTGTAAACTTCTTAGCCTTTAGGGAAGTTGTTTTGTATATTTCAAATGCCTCTGGAAAAAGGATGGAAAAAGTCCTGGAAAACCCTGAATTTTTTAAATTATGAAGATGCGAACCCTGGTATATGTTTTATTCTATTTTGTATAGATACACATCTAGAAATATCTTTCATTCTTTTCACTTGTCTGAAAAGCCTGTCACGGTTTTTAGAAGGCTCCTGTCTGGCGCGAATGGGTAATGAAATGTAATATTATATATAATTATAGTAGCATTGTAAACTTTTAAATGGGCAAATTAATTTTAAAAAAAGTAGTTGTATAATATGCACAATGAAAGGTTCAATTAAAATTGTTATATCAACGTGAAATTGTTCCTTCTACTGTCTCTCTGGCGACATGTGTTCAATAAAAAACATACGAGTCTCGCGATCCATAAGACTAGTCACTATAGTATAATGCTAATTCTCTTACAATTTGGGAGTGGTCACTTTATAAAGTGTTAGTAGAATAATGTATACGTAACGTTTATAATTTAATTTTTTCCCAGCAGGAGCGAAAAGTGGTCGCCATTAGCGTTTAGTAGCCTACTGTTTGCAAACAAAAGGGCGCGATTAGACTTCGAAATCCGACTAAGTACATAAAGCCTTCATTCGTTTACCTTATTTTGACTAACAATGATAGGGATAAACATTACTCACAATGTGACCGGAAACCACAGAGAAAAGGATGTTGAAATAGCTAATAGGATTTTCTTTTTTTATGAAAAATCTGGGTTCTCATGTGGAATAAAATCAGTACCGATATATGTTGGCTGTAGACAATGAAAACGTGTTTGAAGAGGGTACACATTTCGTTATTTATGAGATTTAATTTACATTCATTTGATTTCATGGGGAATATATTTCAAAGTGCGGGAAGAATCGAGAACTTCGAGGCCCTTCGAAGGTCTTTCGTCGAATCGTCGGGAAGCTAGTATTTTGTTGTATTTTCTTAGGTAATTTGAACGGAAGTTTTGTTTTTATTGTCCCTACCTAAACTAGCACAGAGATTAAATTGTCATTGACTGTCGGTGTAACTTTCCTGCTAATGAACCCATTGATAGTCTGCGTATGGTGTGCCTTCACGCTGTGCCATTTTAGCCCCCTTTTATTCTCTTGAACCAGCAGGATCTATTTTTTCTATTTCCGTTTACATGGGGACAAGCTAATACTCACTCCCTATGAATATTGTTAGCTGTAAATGGATGTGTCGGCATTTCGAAAGGAGGCCCGTCCTAATAGCTTGTTGTTTTTGGTAGTATAATTTAGATGAGCATAACAGAAAAAAGTAAATAACATTTTAATCATGTGAATAGCTGTCTTGAACGGCCGGAAACATGAAGTCGTTAACAATAGTTCATAGAATGTTTCCTATACTTGGAAATCTTATAATACGATATTGATTGGTTTCCGTACTGGAAGAAGATGGTCATGTTGACAATGCTAAGAACAAACGCATTTAAACCATTCAATTACTAAGTGTTTACCATGAACAGGAAACCGTTGATCACGGGTGATGTTTTCAGCCTGCTGATGGTGTCTGATGCAACCTTGTTGAAAATTATGACATCACTGTCCGAAATGCTGGAATCGATTCAGAAGAGAGCATTAAAAACAGCTTATTCAGATGCCCTTAAGCTTGCACGATTAGAAGCTTTAACTATAATAGAAGAATTAATTCATGCAAGAACTATATGAACAAAATGAAAAGTAAAGGTCACCCGTCAAATATTTAAATATTTTGTTGCCAACACAATCAGATAAACTTTGTAAATATGCCGCACTGAGAGACAAATCAGAAGTTATTAATATACATAGAAATCCTAGATTTTGTCAACTAAGAGTTTTTTACTGAAGAATTTTTTAACTTTCTTGCTTATATGCTTGATAGAAGATGTATTTACTATTATACATTAAGATGTTTCTTTTAGTAGTTTTAAGTACTTAGTTGTACTGAGATCATATTGGAGTGTAATTTTATAAACTCGTCAATTTACGGTACCGAATTTGGGACCGGTCTGAATTCGTCCTTTTTCGCCTGTTTACACGCGAATTCGTCCTGTTAGGGTGTCTCACATTCGTGCGGTTCCGTGCTTCTCGTGTGTTCACACGGCCGAAACGGACGAGTCAGTTAAGAGTCAGAGCAGATAGCAATTCCAAGGAGTAAAATACTTGTGAAGGCTTCATGCGCTTCTCAGTTCTCGCACATTCCAAGATTATAGAAATAAACCCATGTAGCAGAATGAAATTATAAATCATAAACGTTGACGGAATTCGTTAATCTAAAAATCTAAGATTGGATAATCTAAATATCTTCGTACGGTTTTTTAAATAAATCAGACAAGATTTATGACGATTTAAAACTCTTTCAGTACAATATTCAAAATACAATACATTGCACGTTGCATGTGATAAAATACGCGAGGGGTCCAAATTCGCGAAGGGAGTCCAAATCCGCTAGCGAATAAAGACCCCCATAGGTCCATATTCGCTAGCGGATATGGACTCCCCGGTCCATATTCGCTAGCGGATTTGGACCGGGGGGGGTCCATTTTGAGGGGAGTCCAAATCTGCTGTGACACCGGTATCGTGTAAAGGGATCTATAAACGTTATTTGTAACTACAAAGAGTTTATTAAACCATTTACCACTAAATGCAAACTGATGGAGCAGCCATTTATCTTCAGGATTAGACAACTCACTCAGCTTCATCGTGCATGGATGTCAGTTTCAGTCCTTTTATTGATTTTGTCTGCGCGATCTGCAAAGACTGGTGCCGAAATTTCGTATTTTGACTTCGATTTAAAGAATAATACTATAGTTTTATGAACTAATAACTTGATTAGCGATACTGTCTGTTAGAAAAAACCTGGAATTAGCTTGGGGGAGGGGGAGATGGTATTAAAACTTTTTACAACCTTCGTAGCTATTGGATCTCAATTCTCCGCTAACGACGTGCATGGACTGACCCGATTTAGTTGTAAACAGAAAAAGCTGGCAAGCCATATTCAACAAAGGAAAATTCTTCATGCAGTGTTAGAAACACAAACGTGTGGCATAATTGTTGTCTGCAAAGAGTTTTCAGACCTGCCCTTGTCGGTAAAAGAACATGTGTTCGCAAAGCATTTAAAATATAAAAAGCGCACAAAAGCTGAAAACAAAATCCGCTTTTATCAATGTGACAAAGTCTGAATCAATTAATTTTTCCTCCAATTTTTTGACATTTTGTCTCACAAAATTTGTTCAGCCGTATTTCCGAGCAAATATTATAAAATTGAACGAACAGCTGAAAAATTCGAAACTTTACCTTGGCATAGATGATCCAATAAACTCGAGATTCAATTCTGCAATGTCAATGAGGCCATTTGCAACGCAACCTTTGGCAAACAGCCATGATATATACAGTGTGTAGACAATATGCGCGTAAAAGGTTTAAACAATTGCCATAGCCTTATAATAGCATAGAATGCGCGGCTGAAAAAAAATCTAAATAGTTGCCAAGTTGGAATTTTCATTGATATGCATGTGAACAATATTTGTATTCTATCAAACTACGAGACCGCGCAAGCCATCGCAAGACGCGCGTTCTAACCTTTGACGGATGAAATGGATGAAATGGGTAGTTTGAGCAATGTACTGAATGTATTATACATACAAACACACTGCATAACCTTCATTATTAATTTAAGAGGAGAGTCTTTTGTATGTTACGTAACGTGCGCCCAAAATTGTATTTAAATTGGCAATATTTAACTATTATTTTGTGTTTCGCAACCGCCAGTACATTTAAACAGGTCGCTAATTGTGTAAACTGTAAAATAAAGCTAAAACAAAGTAATTTTTAGAGGAACGCCATAAAAGATATTAGGTTTTGAACACTCTTTCCATCGCGACATTGAAACAAATTGCCTCTTAATAACTTTTTATACACAAGAGATTATGTGTTGACTTGTCGTTTCTGCAGGGTTAAAACATATGCAATAGACTGAATATAGCATGTAAATACAAAACATATTCCTGAGAATAGCATCAACTCGAGATTCGAGTTAAATTCGAAAAGCTAAACCGGGTTGCGGTTTCTGAATAGCATTAATACGTGATTGCGCGTTCCTAACTATTCATTGTAAAAACGAATAGTTTTCTAAAGAGTCGCCGTCCTGTCTCTGTTTGTACCCTTAATGCGCAAACGCCTATGTCCTTATCTTAACAGATACATGAGTCTACCAAAGGCAGTCTTTGTTTTCTTATTAATTATTTTCGTCTTAGTAAAAATATGTTGTTTGCTAATCTGTCGACGCCGCGTTTGATCGAACGCGCGCTAAATTTCTTTCTTGTAAAAACACAAAGAATGATTAGGCCTATAGATATAATTTGCATTTTGCAAGTAAAGCCCATGCAAAGTGCTAAAATAAGGCAACTATAATTGTATAAACCATTCATGGTTTATGTGCAATAAATCATAATGTTTGCGTAACTATTTTAATTTTCTTTGCTGATTAATTGTAACATAGACCGGACTTACATTGTAATGGATTCATCATCGCCTGGAATCGTAGAACAGAACCAAAGACTATTTTCCACTCATTGCAAAAACCATCTCGAAAACCGCTGCGTGCTAGCACCTAATTAAAATAAACTGCCGAGCATTATGATTGGATGAAAGTTTAATTCACTACACTACAAGTCTGGTCTATCATATTTATGAAGGCACTCGCAGCGAGTTGGCTCTTGCGATAATCAACTCAAGTCGGCGTGTTTTCTGGAAGGACTAAAGCGAGGGATGGCTATAAAGGCTTGACGAGGTTGAAATCGACACATAGTCATAGACAAAATTGTGACAATGGCATTGAAAGAAACGGATTGCAACTGTGGCATTGAAAAGATATATAATAATAATAACTTTATTCATAACAAAATACCAATACTGGTACATAATGAATACATAACATTGTATAAAAAATATTAAATCACAAAATCGTTAACTATAGTATACTATAACTGAACAGGATATATAAAATACTGAATATGTTTTAGTCTTAAATTTGGAAATTATAGATACAACTAACCAGTCAGTAATCTGTATTTAAATTGTCTCAAATTTCTATAACTATTTTTTTGCTGACCCAAATTGGGAAATTGCGACCTCAAGGTAATTGGGAAAACCGCGTTTAACGCGGAATTTTTGACTGTAGCTAACACCCTGAAAACTTCCATCTACAAAAAAAAACCACTAAGCTACCGTGGTTTGTGCCTGAAGTGCCTGAAAAAGAGAGATCAGGATTCGTGAAAACTTGTCAAAGTAAAATTTCACGATCAGAGCGGAGACTCTAACCCATTACCTGAAAAAGATGACGACGCGACGAAGTTTTGAACCAGGATATGCTTTCTCAATCCTTGTCAGGGAGTTCGAACCCAAACCCACAGCATCTTATTGTACATAATTTACTGTGGTCTATTTGAGAACGAAGCAATATACTATAGCCGTTTTCGTGCGCCCAAGTTCGAGTTCGTTCAGGCTTCAGGCTTTTGTAGGTAGACATGTCAACAAACGGCAGCTGTGGTGGCAAGGATATCGAACTACCTGAAAAATATGAGCAAAAAATATATAGGCAAACGTTTTATTTTAGTGTTGCCTATATTTTTCAGGAAGTTCCATATATCCTTGACCCCACAGCTGTTTGTTTATTAGGCTTTATCTGTTCCCCTACTGTTTGCTGACTTTGTGTAACTCATCTCGGTGAAAGGAAGGCTATCTTATCTAAACATCAAATTCGACGCGTTTGAAGCTAATGCACAAATCAAAACTAACGCGTCGCTGCCATGTTTTTGGTTCTGCCTGTACAAACAAAGCAGATAATTGAGAATGGGCATTAAAAAACCATTAACACCAAATTTCGAATGAGTTCCAAGCCCAAACGCTTGCCTTTCGACACTCAACACAGCTCACTCATTTAGCATTAAATTACGCTTTTTCAATCGCCTGAACGGAAGCTTTAGACCTAAATTTATAACTGAGGGGCTTTAAAACACTGACGTACGATGCTATAAATACAAAATTTGGGAACAAAAAGTCCCTAGCAACAAAAAAAACTCATCAATATGTCTTTATACGACAATGTATATAGACAGTCAATATCAAAGATGTTTTTGACGCACAAAGTGTTTTTGAGAAAGACTGAATCCTCTTCGATATAACATTGCGACTTTTCCCCCTGACCTTTAACGCTATCTTAGTTAAACATCAAAATATATACATCCCCTATCTGTGGGCTATATTAATTTATATGTTAAGACATTTGTGTCTTGCTATCAGTTATAAATGCGTTTCATGTTTTGTTGTTTAATTGCTAATTTGAGAACAGCGATATTGGCCTCATACAATACATTGCGAGCATATTTTGTGAAAGAAACTTGAAACTAGGCGAAGCATCGATCGAAACACTGTTCACAATGTTGCTGTTAAAGTGAGAGGGTGGCAACTGTTGTTTTGCGGTTGTTCACGAAATTTATAGGTTCGTAACTTGCTTCACGCTGCCCCCACAAAACCCCCGTGGATTTATTTTATTCTTTGCGTAAATGTAATTGCCTCCAGTAGACAAGAAAGGTGACAATCACTCTATGCATACAACGAAGGAAATTTGAATAAAGAGTAGATTTTAGCCTATAGGAGATCACCGAATGGGGTGGGACTTGTCATTAGTCGAAACAATGATAATGGAAAATATTTGTTTTTCTTTCAGTCTGTGGTAATAGCTTTGAGTATATTGCAGGTGTAGGCTTAAGAAGTTACCTTGTTTAACTCGCTGAGAATTGGTTATAGCCCAGATAGTCAATGGCAATGCTCCAGTGTGGTTTAAGAGGTTAACTACGGCGCTCGGGTAGTGTTAGGTCGAGTTTTGTGACAGTGTGTACACAAAGCGTTCACTCGCAAGACAGTGTGAATTGCACGGTCGAACGCCTTAATGACACTGAGCCACGCTGTGATTGGTTGATCGCATCATTTGTCAATATGCCGTAATGGTGTGACAGATTAAAGAGAATTTGAAAGGCAAAGACTTTAGTGTGTACTGTCAATACAAGAGTGTATCGCGGCATGATGACTGGATGTGCATCTATGTTTATGTGTGCTCGCTTAATTCCCTTTATCCTGGTGTTGGTTTATCATTTAGCGAACGGGGACAAGAATAAATGCGAGGAAATCACGATTCCGCTATGCCAGAACCTCGGCTACAATACCACATACACGCCGAATCGCTTTTTTCACGAAGACCAGAAAGAAGCGGCGTCAGAAGTGCATCAATTCTGGCCCTTGGTTCAAATAAATTGCTCTCCCGTGCTCAAATTTTTCCTGTGTTCCCTCTACGCACCCGTGTGCGATAAGGTTTACGACAAGGAACTTCTGCCATGTCGTAAGGTCTGTAAACAAGCGAAAGCGGGCTGTCTAGATTTGATGACAACCTACGGTTTTAAATGGCCGGAGAAAATGGAATGCCACTTATTCCCCGAGAAGAAAGACGATCCGTTGTGTATGGCACAAGAAGACGGAGCGCCCTTACCGACTCGGGGAGCGTGGCCTTCGGGCTTTACCTTCTTTCCCCTTCCTTCGAAAATTCCAACATCAATAGATGAGAGTTCTAAAACCTCGCGTACCCGAGGACCACCGAGACCAACTCATGTAGGTCGTGGCTCGAAATCGTTTGTCACCACGCCGTCACCTCGAGGGCAAGCCTGTCAATGCCAGTGCGCTAAGCCGTTTATACGTGTCGACAAGAAACTAGAACGCCATATCGGAGACGTACCGAACTGTGCCTTGCCATGCAACGCGTCGTACTTCAGTTCAAATCAGAAACGTTTCGCCACGGCGTGGGTGACATTATGGTCAACTATGTGCTTCGTTTCGACCTTCCTTACGCTCGCAACATTCTTTTTGGACACGGCTAGATTTCGGTATCCTGAACGACCGGTTATATTTCTATCGAGTTGTTATCTGTTGATGTCGTTTGGATATATAATGCGTCTGATAGCCGGCGAAGACGCAGTGGTCTGCGATAGCGACGACCTCATAGCGCACGAAACAACTGGACCAGCTTTATGTACTCTGGTATTCTTACTGACCTATTTTGGTGGCATGGCTTCGGCGCTCTGGTGGGTTATTTTGGCTTTTACGTGGTTCTTGTCGGCCGGTTTGAAATGGTCCAACGAAGCGATTGCAAACGTATCGCAATACTTCCATATTGTTGCTTGGTTGATACCTTCCGTGCAAACAATCTCAGTATTAGCAATGTCTAGCATAGACGGTGACGCTTTGAGCGGCATATGCTCGGTTGGAAACCAAAATAAGGATAGCCTGGTCGCGTTCGTAGTCGTGCCTATGGGAATCTACCTAACTATCGGTTCGGTGTTCTTGCTGGCTGGATTTGTATCATTATTCCGTATCGAAAGAAAATGCGAAGCGATGGCAACAATACAAACAAACTAGAAAAGCTCATGGTCCGAATTGGTGTGTTCTCCGTCCTCTATACCGTCCCTGCGACTGTTACGATTGGCTGTCACGTCTACGAAATGTCGAATCGCACGAAGTGGGAAAAATGGTTGACATGTTCCGAAACGCCTTGCATCGGAGCGGAGAAAATCGAACCCGAATTCTCGGTGTTTATGGTCAAATATTTCATGTCGTTAGTCGTCGGGATTAGTACGGGATTTTGGATTTGTTCAATGAAGACTATCGACTCGTGGCGCGATTTGATCAAACGGCACCTCGGATCGAAATTAAGACAGAAAAGTCCAGACGAACAAGCCGAGCAAACGGCGCTACCTTTGACCAAAAAAACTGATGTTTAAGACTTAATTTCAGTTTAGGGATTCTTCTAGACTTTGGGGAACAGCCCGAATAGTACAAGCGCGTCATTCTCCGAAAAACGTCCGCCAATGTCAGTCGAAAGTCGCAGCGCTTAATTCGAACAGTTTAAGTTAAAACGAAGGGGGCTGGAAACCTGTATTGGTACAGTTGAATTTTGATTTCCGGTTGTGACAAAAGGCGGGAAGATGTCTAAACAGTTCTTATAGTCTTTAGGAATTGTTTAACATTTTGAACTGCGGGGCCTTGCAAGGCTCTCCGCAGTCGAAAGCCGCCATTTTGGCTGCGTATGTACATAATTGAAAACAATGTATTTAACTGACGCCACGCATGATAAGTGGTAACACATAGACTCTTACTGATATATTGTAAAGATCTTTGTACTCTGCTCATGCTAGAAGCTGAGTATTTGCGTAGTTTCAATACGTAAACTTTAAGTTTATAGTGTAAATAAGATTTATTAATAGGTACAATTATTTTTTTTGGGCAAACTAGATAATTTTTCTTTAAGCCAGATTTGTTGTAAGATGAAAGCTCGAACATTTGTTCAGATAATATCTTAGAGATTAAAAGATGCCTTGTTAAGTCATTATTCATAATATTTACAAAGAGACGCTATTTACGAATACTTTTCGATTAAATTGCTTTACATGTTAATAAAATTGGATAAACTTCGTTAATAAGTTAATAAATTAATAAGAAACCTCAACGTTGCCTTCAAACAAATCTGTGACTGTGTATAGCTTTCAAAGTGTGGAAAAAGCTTGCGTTATATTGTCTTTTTGTGTGATTAAATGTATACATTTTTGAATAAGTAATGAGATGTTAGCGTCGAATGCATGTAATTAAACGTGCAATATTGGCAAAAGCGGATATCAGGGATAAGTGCTTTTAACTTTTTGAAAGTTTCTTGTGTTTGAAGTGAAGCAATATTACAAGGGGAGGAGTTTCTAAGAGCTGTAAATTAACAAGGGCGGCAGATGTTGCGGCCGAGAAATGATTTTGCAAGTGCCCTGCCATTTTCGTTCACTATACCAAAGCTATCATAAATATTTTGACCAAAGTCCGTGACCTACCGATTACTTCACAAGGGGGCGAAACAAATATTTTTATACCACTGATATTTATCAAACCGCGAATAAAGGTTCCGGGTTGTAGCCGCCGAGATTCGAGACAGTCTAAGACTAAACAATTTGCAAATATGGAAATTTGAAATATTACTTCGTTGCTTCCCGTCTTAACTCGTTTGGCTCAAATCATGAATTACAAGATGGAACTTTTTATCTGGAGTTTGTGTCGTTTTTGAAATCATATATAGATATCCTGTGCAGTTAGGTATGCCACTGATCTGAAATTAGGACTGGATGCTGATAGAGTATCTTTTTTATTAGTCGAAGGCAGAATATTTATATCAATTATAATGAGAAAAGATTTTAAATCTGTCAACTGATTATCCACATATTGAAGTGTTATAGGTGTTTAAAATTAGCTATGATTATCAGCTATGCTTGTGTGCCTTGAAATATATATAGCTTCCCGGCGTTCCCGCACCCTGCCTGCTCTTGTTACGAATTTTGAACTTGCGGTTAGGGACCGGTCATTATTTATGGTGGGGGGTTGCACCGAAGAGAAATGTTTTTTGTGGGAACAATTTTGCTGACCCAACCATTAAAAAGTCAAAAATTTGATTACCCAACCTCAAATATCAATCGGTAAAAAATAAATACCCACCCCTAGCCAAAACCTTTACAAAAGGATACCATTCAGTTGTCACACATGTCCTTTTAATTGCCACTTTTGTGACATGAGTTTGATAACAGCTTGTGAAATTTTCTGCAATCTAAACTTTCATACTGTCTGCACATATTGTTTCTTTGGAGAAACCATTTGTCTCCTGACAAATCAGAAAATGATGAAGATAGTGACTTGATTCACATTGTATTGACATATGATTGTTGACATTGCTTTTTAGTCTCCAATATTTCAGTGAGTCATGCTTTGGAAATGACAATATTTTTTTATTACCCAACTCTTGAGTTGTTTTGTTTTTCATTTACCCAACCTTTTACTCACTCAAAATTTTGTTTACCCAACCCTTTTCTCTTCGGTGCCACCCCCAGCCATAAATAATGACCACTCCCTTAGAGCTCGACAACTGGCTTCTGCAGCTCAGTTTGTTAGAGCGCTTCACTGGAATCGCAGGGCCGCAGCTTCGATTCCTACCAGAAGGCTCATAGTTGCATTTTTCGCAACAGCTCCTGGTTACGTCTATAATAAATGTATAAAATTCACACCCGAAATTTTGCAACTACAAAACCCTTCTTCTAAAATGTCAGCAATACCACGGTAGATTTTTGGTTGTTTTTTGTGTAATTCAGAACATTGCAACAATTGTGTGAGGGTGTATATCACTGTGTTCATCATATGACCAATATAATCGCATGTCACCAGAAGAACACTTTAAATATTGAACTCGAAAATGACAACACTCGAACAAACATCCTACTTGACCAAGTGGAGCATGTCCTGTTTACAAGGGCCTTCTGTCTATTCCATGTCAGTTCTAAAATGGTCTTCCTAGAGAATTCTAGTAATGATCGTCCCTTATTTAGCGAGTAGCTATTGAATCTATCATTCTGATTGGTCGGATTTGAGCGTCTCTAACGTCATAGCCACTGGCTACAGAAAGTAAACTAATTATCTATAACTTTAGTTATACTGGATAGTCCTGTCTGTTCTAAAATGTTCCCCTAAACTAAAGACACAACCTTATTGATCCAATATTATATGCTACATGGGGAGAATTAACTAAATAATTTATGCTGCATGAATATATAGCTCTATATCACTAGTTATCAGTTCTAAATTATCTTCCTAAAATCGAGACATCCCTTTCTGTATATTGGTCCAGACTCCTGAGCAGGGATTATTCTAAGGCCATTTCATCACTGCACGAAGAACAATAAAGGACAACATCTGAAATTTTGACTAGAAACAATTAACACTAGCATGTTAAACAGCAACGAAGCCTATGTATCTTATCAT